CAGTGGGTGTGCTGGAGGGAGGGGCTCTGCCTCATTGGGTGTGCGGGGGTGGGGCTCTGCCTCATTGGGTGTGCTGGGAGGAGGGGCTCCACCCCAGTGGGTGTGCTGGGAGGAGGGGCTCTACTTCAGTGGGTGTGCTGGAGGGAGGGGCTCTACCTCATTGGGTGTGCGGGGGAGGGACTCTACCTCATTGGATGCGCTGGAGGCGGGGGTCTACCTCATTGGGTGTGCTGGGGGGAGGAGCTCTTCTTTATTGGGTGTGTTGGACCAAGAAGGCAGCCCCTGTGTCCTTGTCCAGGGGAGGCCAGTAACATAGGACCACAAGCCGGGGGTGTTTCAAACAACCGGAACGTTTCGTCTCAGTTCTGGAGGCTGGAAGTCTGAACCGAGGTGTCGGCAGAGCCGTCCTCCCTCTGGAGGCTCTAGAGAAGGATCCTTCCCTGTCTTCCAGCCTCTGGTGGGCTCCGGTGTTCCTTGGCTTGTGGCTGACTTACCCCCACCGCGTCACATAGCATCTTCTCTGTCTGCCCTTGTCTGCCTCCTACAATGGCAAAATCTTGTACCTCTCACAGGTATAGGGCATCCCACAATGGTCTCATCTCAAGGTCCTTTTCCAGATAAGATCACATGTGCGGTTCTGGGAGCGTATTCTCTTGGGGGCCACCGTTTTGCCCACCACACAGCCCCACTGTGGTTCCATGGACTCCCAGTCCTCCCTGGGGTGGGCTGTGGCTGTCGGTGGCTTGCAGTGTTAATGTCTCCTCCAGGACAGGCTCCCACCTCAGGACCCTTAGTCCCACTTGCAAAGTCTGTGTGACTCAGTCATCTAGTACTGCTGTAACAGATACCCTCGGTGGGTGGCTTGAACAAGCAGAAATTCATTCTCTCCCAGTTTAGGAGGTTAGGAGTCTGAATTCGGGGCGCTACCTCCAGGAGAACCCTCTCTCCGTGTCAGCTCTGGGGGGATCCAGTGCAGTGGGTTGCTTAATACAGCCCTTCTAGCCATCACCTGCCATTTTCTGTTGTATTGTAAATCCTAGACTCTAGTTTTGGTGTTTTGGTTTTGGTGGCATGGTGCCTCAGGCATTTGACTGCTAACCAGAAGGTTGTCGGTTCAAATTCACCAGCTGCTCTATGAGGGAAGATGGGGCAATCTATTTCCATAAAGATTTACAGTCTAGGAAACTCAATGGAGGGCACTATGAGTCGGAATCAACCTGTTGGCAGTGAGTTTGGTAGTTTTTTTTTTTTTACTTTGGTGTTTCATGCCTCTTCAGGGTGGGATGTATCTTGAGTCCGCCTTGCTGGAGGGTGCGACTCAAGTCACCACCCTTAGCTGCCCTGAGGGCGTATATGTGAACGTTCTGGGAAAGTTCTCTCTCTGGCTGTGGTCCTGCATTTGGTTTGTCATCATCTTACCCCTCTACCTGAGACAGCAGCTGGTCATCTGACCCACTGATTTGGGATGTTGTCAGAAGGGACCATTCCCTGGAGAAGGATGTCATGCTTGGTAAAGTGGAGAGTCAATGAAAAAGGAGAAGGCCCTCAACGATGGGCTCAGGTGTAGCAAGGACTGTGAGGCTGGCACAGGACCGGGCGGTGTTTCGTTCTGTTGTACGTGGGGTTGCTATGAGTCGGAGCCAACTCACTGGCCCCTAGCAACAACAGCCCCTGCAACCATGTGAGTTGGGGGAATCCTCCAGACCTACCCACAGATTTGGCACTTGCCAGCCTCCCAGCCTCCACCACCACCACGTGAGCCATTTTTTTAGGAGTCTGTGAATTCCGTGAGACATTACAGCAAAATGCAGAACCCTAAGACAGGAGGGAGAGTATCGAGGAGAGAAGCGGTTGATGTCAGAGATGATGGAGTGGTACAGCAGTTTGGAAAAGTTGGACATTTGGGACATCTTCAATCTCTGTCTCATAAGGACAAGCCTTGTGCTGATCCTTCTAAAAGAAATGATTCAAGCAGGGAAGGCCTTTTCACTCATTAGCTTCTGCTGCTTGGCTCCTATGATCTTCCTGTGGTCTGGCATCCACCAGCACCTCTGCTTCCTTAATCTCCTTTATATCTCAAAGGAGCTTGACTCAAGACACGCCCTGCACTAACACGGCCTCATTACCATGGCAAAGAACAGCCCTTCCCAGGTGGGAGCTATAAGCCCAGCTAAGGGGTTAGGATTTACAGCACAACATTTTGAGGCATACAGTTCAGTCCTCAACATCATACAAGGTCACATGTTCCCAGGTTCCAGGGACTAGGGATGTGGCCATCTTGGAGGCCATGATTCCCCATGAGTCCCCATGGCCTTCAGGAGCACAATTCTGAGGCCCACCTGCAGGGCCATTCGACCTCTCACCCCGTCTGCCTCCATGAGCCATGGGGTCTCTGCCCATGTCCTGTCCCGTGCCTGGGGCCCCATCCCACTGGACCCTAAAGAACCCTTTCATCCACCAAGGCTTCGAGCATAGTCTGCCTCAAGAGCTGACCTCCCCCTTTTGTGTTGTTGGATGAGGCGGCCCCGACTCACAGTGATCCCACGTACATCAGGATGAAACACTGCCCAGCCCGCACCAGCCTCGCAATTGTTTCCATGGTTAAGCCCATCGCTGCAGCCGCTGTGGTCCATCTCATTGAGCTTCTTCCTCTTTTTCACTGAATGAGAGGATCTTCCTTTTTCCTACCAAGCAGACAGCCTTCTGCAGGGACTGGTTCCTCTGATAACCAGGAGCACGGGACACAAAGTCTCACCATCCCTGCTTGCTTCCAGGCAGCATTCTGGCGCAGTCTTTTCATGTACCCTTGGGTCCAGCCCATGGACCTCTCTAGAGTTCTCAAGTTAGGCCTAAAAATCCCTCTCCCTACGTTCTCTTGTTCTTCAAGTCAAGTACAAAGTGTCTGGAAGCCTTGCCCAGGAGGCCTCCTGACCCTGGGTGGAGGGGCCGAGGGTTCAAAGGCCCACTCCTGGGTGTCTGGCGACGCACAAGTAGGAAGTTGGGAGGGGCAGGTACAGGGCAAGGCTGAGTTCAGGTTGGAGACAGAGTCCCAGGTCTCTGGGATGGTGGGCTAGTGTGGGGTGGATGGGGGTCCCACTCTGGGACCAGAGGCAAACCCTCGCTGGATCTCGAGTTTGTAACCCAGGCCCATGTCCCTTGGCTTGGAAGGCAGCTGGGGTTCATTTAGAGGGACGTTAATTTAGTCTCACTGGTCAGCTTGTTGGTAGGTGCCAGTCTGGCCCTTGGAGGGGTCTGGGTGCCAACTGGTGATGACCCAAGCTGGGCACATGGGAACCGATTCAGGCCACATGGAGCCCAAAGGCTAGTGACAGTCAGCTGCTGCCTGCAACAGCTGAGCACTCAGACAGCCCCCCTTGAGACGCCATTAGGAGAACAAGAGGTCTGTGGGGTAGGGCTACGCCTGTGTGAGGTAAAAGGGAGAGGGCAGGAACCAGGTCAGGGCTCACCTGGCAAGGGGGGAACAGGGTGACACCCCCAGACAGTGATGTGGCTCGATGAGGTCCGGGCCAGCCCGGTGGGGAGCTCTGGAGCAACGCTGAGCCTGGCAGAACGGCCTGAGTCAGTGACCCTGAGGAGCTGCAGTGGGAATGGTCACTCCTTGCCCTTCCTGGTCACTTGCACAGTCATGGCCAGAACCCTGCCCGTCCGGCACCCCACAGCGAGTTCTGTCCTGGAGGGGGAACCTCCTTGGGTGCTACACGCTGCTGGTCACCCCACGAGTAACTCCCGAGCCCTCCTTGAGGCCAGAGCTGTGTCAGTGCCACTGAGGGTGCCCAGTGTGGACAGTCTCTGCCCCAGAGCTGCGTTCTTTGGGGACCAGAATATGTAAGTGGGGTCAGTAAGTTCAGTGAGGGCAGGAGTCCAACATGGACTGGCAGAGAGTGGGGTAAGGGAGAGGCTGTTTGAAGTCATTTGGTCCAGGAAGAAGGCTCTCAGAAATCAGTGATGTTTGAGATGGGAATAAGCAGGAAACACCCAGGGCAAGTGCCAGAAAACAGCACCATCCTGCAGAAGGAACAGTCCACCCTGGCTTGTCCTGGGCGCTAGGCCTGGCCCCTCTCCCCAAGTACCCTGTGGGGGTCTCCTGGTCCACTCTCGGTCCTCACTCCTTTCTCCTCTCATCTGGCTTCTTTTCCGCACACACCAATGTCGGGCAGTGGCTACGCAGTCATTCAGGGGGATTCTTGGCTGGACATGGACAAGGGGTGGCTTCAGGTTCAAAACTGAAGGAGAGGAGGGGAGGTGGCCCTGTGGTGGTCCAGCTCCAGCAGGGACACCTCAAGCCGCTGACACAAAGCCATGACTGTCCTGCGGCGTCAGCTGGGTCTTGTCATGCTAGGACCACACCCGCCGCCCCCCGGCCTCCAGCGCCCGTGGACAGCTCTAGACTCCAGAAGGCAGTGGGAGACACCCTCTCCAGTGGGTGGGGATTGAGAGTGTGGGCAGGGTCCCCACTCCCACCTCTCTCTCTTTGGTTCCCCCAAGCCGTGAAGGTGCCACGGCCCCCATCGCGAAGCCTTTACGATCACGTGCGTGCCAACTCCTTGCTGGGTGCCATCTACCACTGTGAGTCTCTGGCCCCCAACTTCCTGGCCTAGCCAGGCCTCTGGCATGGCCTCAGGTTCCCCCACCCTCACCTGGGGCTCCCTGCCCCCTGAGTCCATCTCCTACCTGCTCTGCCTGCACCCTGCCAGGACCAGGATGCCACCCTCACATAGCTTGCAGCCCAGGAGTGGGGTCCACAGGGTTGTCCTTTGTCAGGTGTACACAAGCTGCAGGGGTGGGAGAGGGGAGCCCACCTGGTCCCTCGGGCCCCCTTGGACTCACATTGCCATGGTACAGGCCTCGTGGACCCAGGACAGCCCCCAGGCACTGTCTCTACTCTGATTTCTCACCATCCTTATCCCAACCAACCGGCAGCCCTGCAGAGCAGGGAGCTCTAGGCCTTGTAGCTGAACCAGATCTGGAACCTGGAACCTGCCCTTGGCCCCCAATCCTTTCCGGCATCCTGCTCCCCTCTACTTCCCATTTCCGGCTCATGTGTGTTGGGTGGAGGGTGTCAGGGGCTGGGTGAGCCAGGTCCCCACCTGCAAAGCCATAAAGCCCTTCCTTCCAGTCGGGGGGCTTTGCTCTCTGAACCGGATACCCCCCCGCTGGACCCCACTCCTAGGGGGTCTCCAAATGGAATGCTCCTGGACACATGGAGGGTCTCTTGTGCCCCCAGCCCCGTGCCCCAGCATGAACACCAGCATAGCTGCCTCGGGCCCCCACCCGACAGTGCCGTCGTCACGGACACCGTCTCTGCCGCCCCTGCCAGTGCTGCCACCGCTGATCCCGACACCGCGGGACCCCCAGCAGGCTCAGGGGGCCACCAGGCACACGAGACCCCTGCGCCTTGAGTCCCGAGCCAGCGCCCAGTCCAAGGAGGAGCCCACCAACCCGTGAGCCTTGTGGCCCCCCGCAGCTGCCAGGGTCCCCAAGGCCCTGAGCCTGGCCTGGGAAAGGAGCTCTGGGCACGGGGGAGGGGTTCTCGTGTGCACCCCCATTTGGACCCAGTGGCTGCTCTAACCCCACTGGTGTGAACAGGAATGCCTGACTTTCTGGAGTGAGTGCCCCATTAAGCGGGAATAATTCCTGGGCCAATTCCTAATACCACACAGCGGTTTTCGAACTTTTTAAAAAATGACCTTCCTTTTTATTCCGTGGCAGTTTTTCAGGGAAACTGATTCCTTGACCAGCCCACACCATACCGAACCGGTACCGGCTCCTGCCACTGCCAGTTTTTTCTGGGAGCATAATCTCTGCCAAGTCCACTTTCCCCACGGGAACAAAATTCACCACAGGCAGCATTTCCTGTTTTGCGTTGGCATTTCTGCTGGGAATGCCTGTTAGAACTGGGTCTTTAAAAACCTGATTGTACTTACTTCCTGCCTAACCCTTGAGGACACTGGCACCACGCCCCTCAAATACACCAGCATTGCCCGGGCCTGAGGGGTGCCCTTTCTGAGCAGTTCCCCACCTTCCAGCCCCAGTATAACTGCCTGTCCACTTGGGGTACAAAGAGCAGACCGTGGCCTGAGTGCCCACGGTTGAGCCCCCACCCTGGAGAAAGGTTCCCCGGATCCATCCTGGGCATCACTCCCTCTGGCGGGTTCTGTTTTTGGCCACTGTCCCCCCAACCCCTCCTTACTCCCCAGCTCTGGGTGTCCTGTGTGCCACCCTTTCTGCACACGTCACAGTCCCATCCCATTTCACTGAGATGCCCGGATTGGGGGCACCCCCCACCCCTCACGCTCACTGAGAAGTTAGGGGGTTGGGGGACAGTGAGTTGCCCACAAGTGAGTCTGGAGAGGGCTCTCCATCACTGCCCCTTGGGCCCACCCTGGGGGAGGCCTAGGGGCTCCGAGATCTGCTAGGGGGTGGTGTGGAGGGGGTGTCTACCTTTTTTAATGGTCCCCCGCCCTGACAGTTCTTTTCTCTCTCTGAGGACTGTGCCCGAATGAGGACATGGGCTTCCTGACCCGGTGACTTGCCAGTCCAAGCACCTGGGGGACAGCGGCCGGCGGAGCCCTGTCCCTCCTCCAGATGAGTATTTTTGCACGGTCCTGGAATAAAGCCCTTCCTTTTGCTGACTATGGATGGGGGTGACTGGCTGTGCCTCTCTGTGGGGAAGACGGGCCTTCCCCATGTGGGAGGGTGAACCCCCAGGCCCCCTCCTGCCACCGCCTTGGACACAACCAGAGGCACCTTCCCTCCTGCAGAACGCCTCCCACTGTCCCAAAGCCCCCAGCAGCCGCCAGCCTGTGTGGCGTCAGCGGCCCAGGTCACAAAGCAAGGCCTCAGCTCTGCTGGACACCGTGCCCAGGGCTCCGACCTCCGCCATCCCTCCCACTGTGCAGTACACTGGCTCCAGGACAGTGGGAGGTGGGGTCCGAGGGAGACTGCCCCTGCGCTGCTGACGCACACCACACCCACAGCACCCAGGGTGCCTCCCTTACCCCCATGGCCAGGCTTGGTGCTCCCTCCCGGACCCCAGTGTTCATAAGGCCCCTGCCAACACGGGCACCTACAGCTGAGGAGGGAGGCCTGAGTGGACGATGTGTCACGTGTTTGCGCTCTCATGGACCTCCCCTGGATGGTGGATACCTTAAGGGAGCAATCCCAGAGGAAGACATTCTTGTCCCTGTCAGGGCGAGTGGGGGCAGCCACCCCCCGTCTCCAAGGGGTGGGACCTCACAGGCCCTACAGCTTGGTGAGGGGCATGTACTTCATCCCAGCCCCTCGACAGGTGCTTCATAAGGGGACCCATGGTGCCCCAGCTCAGCAAGTCACTGGGGAGTAAGGGAACCAAGATGGGCCACTAGGGTGGGAACGAAGGGTGTGCAAAGCCAGCAGCCCCTGGGCAGTCTCCTCCTGGCCTGGGGCACAGCAGCAGGGCAGGGAGCAGGGGGACCCACCATGCTGAGACTTGGGATGTTCAGGGTTAAGACTGAGAGGAGTTGATCACATGGGGAGGGAGGTATTCAGACCAGCCCTGCAGGTGGGGCTGCCAGGAAGGGGAGGGAGATGTGTCACGGCCCTCTGGAGGGGCGATGCTGGGGGGACCACCCTGTACCCCCAGCCCAGCCTCGTACCCCACCGCTGCTGTGGAAGGTCACTGAACATC